TTCGTTCAAGAAAGAGTAGAATGGAGAAAAACCCAAAACATATATGCAATTGTTCATCTTTACTTAAGAAATTAACAACAATATAAGCTAATTACTTAAGAGAGAGAGAGATAAGTGGAGCTCTTAAGAAGGGAGGGATTAGGGTTAGAAGTTTTTAGAACTAACCGTATGCCAACTGAACAACCACCACTATCCAAATCTCTGATGCGCCACCAATCGGCCACCACCGTCGTGATCTTCCCTGCGCCACACCAACCGCACCACCAAGGTTTGAAGCCATGAGTCAGTGAGAGAGTAGAAGGGAGGAATAGAAATCGTGTGAATAGTAATAGCCTCCCCTAAACGTGATTTTTAGGAAAATAATAATAATACATAAAATAATAACAATTAAATAAAAATTACATAATTTCTGGCATATTTTTTATGCCTGCCGGAATTATTTAATTAATTCCGGCGCTTTTACAAACACTGCCGGAAATACTACATATATATCGGCCGTTTTTATCATACCGCCGGTATAATAACCAATAATGGCAGTTTATTATAAACTGCCGGTAAAAATTAATTAACAGTGGCACACACATAAAAACTGCCGGTAAAAATGATATTTCTTGTAGTGCCTTCTCAACATTTAATTAGAAATTCACTTCATTTAAGCCATTTTGGAAACATCTAGCATGCTTGAAATCAAGAGAATCATATTCTAAACATCACATACATATGATTCACAATTTGCATGTTATAAGATATACAATTTCTTAAGGTATTCATGTTAGCACATAAATTGGCACAACCTCATCATACAAACATACTAGCAAGAATTGTATGAAATTTAGCACCTAGATTTCATGTATACTTCACAATTTGACAACAAAGCAACCAAAAGAAGACATGAAACTAATCATAAAGAACAATTTGTACTTTATCACCAAACATGCATCATGGTAATACCAATTAGGAACTCATAAAACCCAAGGCTCCATGAATTAGATACCCCTACTTTAAATAAGGATAAAAATCCTAATTCCCACTGAAACCAAAATGCTCCCCTTGTGAAACTGGATCTGTAGGATGAAAGAAGAGGCAAAAGAGAATGAAAAATCCTTCTACAGCGCCTCCAAAATCTGAACTCGGATCTTACCCAAAATCTCCAAAGTACTCCAAATCAAAATCCGAAATCATAGGCTTGTAGTTCTCGTCGTGTTCATTAAACTTTTCTTCTATGGCGTCGTCAAAATCCTACCCAAGCTAGATCGAATTACATTCCGAAGCATGTAAAATGAAAAGAAAATAAAATGGTGGGAGAGAGCTCACGGCTGAGAGAGAGAAATGAGACGAAAATGTGGCCAAAAATAAACTAAGTCACCCTTTTATACTAAGTCAAATATGTGGGTCCCGCCTTCCACTTAAATACTTAAAACAGCCTGTTTAAGCCCTGAACACTCGCAAACGACACAATACAGTGCAAAATGGATAATCCCAACATAAACGAAGAGTACAGTGATGTCGAAAAATTTATTGAACACAAAAATCTACAGCGGGCCCCACTCGGTACCTCCGGGGCACGAAGATCAAAACTGATCGAAATGAACCCAAATGAGTTTCCAAGAGTTCTAAATCCAAAGAAACGACCCAAAAAACTCTCGAAACACCGTGACACGCATCCCCGTGCATAAATAAAATAAAAAGAAAATTGCCCGAAAAATACCGAAAAATTCGGGACGTCACATATACACACACACGCACACACAGTTATATATTAAATAAAATCATAGCAGCTAAGTCTATCACAATGGCCTCTTTCGCTCTTGAGTTGCCCTTGTAGGTTCCCGTGTAGTTTATGATAGTTTTAGGGACCCATTTATATAAATGGGGGCATGGATGGGTTTAGTAATGAAATAATAGTGGGGGTTTAGAGTAGGGGAGGCTCACTTTCTTGCCTCATTTATATTATGATTTTACAGTTTTATCCTTAACTATTATAATATATAGAGAAATACCCTAGTAGCTAACTAAAACCCTAGTAACTAACTCTTGTCAAATTAAAGTTATGATAAGACAATCTCTATCATCGCTCTCTCTCTTATCATGGTGACACAACCATCTCTCACATCGATTCGTCGCATAGATCTCAAAAAGAATGCTCAAGCTCTCCCTCTCTCTCTCTCTCTCTCTCTCTCATCACTTTTGTTTTGTTTACTGGTGAGATTGATTATGTGTATAGAAGGTAGCTTTGCCCAATTGTTATTATGCAATTGGTTGAAGATATTAAATTCTCGTTTACTCATAGAAAAATAAATCTCATTCCTTGGCCAAGTATGTAATGTGCATAAAATTTGATGTTGATTTTTGGTATTCTTTTCCTCCTATGTTATGAAATTAATTATGGATGAATAGTGTACTTGATCTATTTCTATTTATGAAATCTTACCATTGGGAGGGATGGGGGAATAAATGAAAATAATTCTTTTTATCTATTTTTTTTATTATTATTGAGGTGGGGTAGTTCAGGGATGGGGTTAAATTTCTTAATCAGTTTTAGGGACGGGGTTTTAGAGTTGTTTCATAAACGGTTGCGGGGTGGGGATGGAGGCTATTATCTTAAACGGGGATAGGGATGGGGAAGGGCCCAAACTCGCCCTGTTGTCATATCTAATCATTAATGACCTGCCGCATATATTTAATGTTATGAGTAGGTTGTTTAATGTGTCATTGCCAATTGATGTCATGTTTTTTCCTTGATTCTACAATTGCCGAATTTTGTGATTCAACCACCTCCTCAGCCTTTTGATTGAATAAGGTGTATGGAAGCTCCCTGCTCGTTTACTGGTTATCGCTGCAACAGTTTGATCGATGATCATGTCTTTCAATTTGTCTCTAAGCTTGTTCTAGTTGGATTGGGTTGTGCCTCGTGCTCATGTTTTGTTAATGGCAAAAGGCCAGGGTCTTTGGACCGTATTCCTTTTATGGTCTTGTACATCGTATTTACACACACACACACACACACATATATATACATTTGAAATTAACCTTTCAAAAGGCTAAGGTCTTTGGACTATTTTCCTAGGCGATTTGATTTAATGGCCACTCATCCACAACTAGGACAATCATAACCTCTAAGCCCTAGGCACTAAATAATACCCAATGGGGTTTTGAACCTTCAAGTACTGTCCAGAGAACCACGGACTATAAATTCCGATATCCTTAAGCATTAAAAAGGCAGAAGATCAACAACCTAGGATCACTATTACTAGAGTTCATTTACTCTCTATCAAGATGCAAACATTCATACGTTCACCATTAATCCTTTCAGTCTGTTTGCTTTTTATCTTTCTTCCATATTAGCATTTTGAGTCTCTCTTATTTATGTGTGATCTATCATTTACTATACTTTATTGTTGTTCCATGAATGGACCCATACACCCTTTATTCAATTCTCATTTACCAAAAAAGAAAAAAAAAATACCAAAAAAGAAAAAAAAAAATGAAGTTGTGTTATCGTGGATCGTCCAAAAGTAATAAGCTTGTTATTCCTTGTATCTACCAAAAAAAGAACATTGTAGTTCATTGATCAGAGTTGGGAAAAATAATTAAATAAAGTAATGAAAATTTTGTAATCTTGATCCACCAGATAGATCAGGGGGAAATAGGGTAGAAGAAAAATGAGTGACATCCCCATAGCCATGAAATTATTATTAAACACAATGTCATAGTCATCTTTTCTAGTGTACCTCCCATTTATTACTTTTGTCTTTTGCCTTCACTCCCTCTCCATCCACAAAAAAAATGCTCTTTGCCCCTCCTCAAGGCCCCTTAACTTTTTGCCACTAAATTTGCAGGAGCTTGCTCTCTCTACCTCCAATTAGGGTTTCCTTTTGACTGCTCACCTCCAGTAATGAATCTGCAGTAGTGAAGCTCCACATCTTTCATTGGGTTTTTGGATCACTTTATCCTTGAAGAAGAAATTAAAGAGCTCCCACAAAGGAAAAGGTACTTCCCTTTTGTTCTTTTGTTCAAAGAAACCTAGATCACAAACAGGTAAACTCATGAAGCTCCTTGATTTATCTCTCTTATGCTAATGATATTTTTTCTTTTTTTAGATTTTGTTTCTTTTGGAAAGCTAAGGAAAACAGTGATCTTGCATGCCTTTGAATTACAATCTATATATGATTAAGGGTTTTGCAGTATGTGAATTTAATGGGTAGACCAACAGATGATCATGCTATATATGTTACCACATGATAATTATGGGTAATTGCACTTGGTCAGATTTCATTTTCAACCGATTTCAGAAGATATCATTAATTTATAATTGCTTTTGCAACTGAATTCTTCCAAATCTCTAGCAGTCTGATCAACATGTTGTGTCTGAAAGAGAGAGAGAGAGAGAGAGAGAGATGGTGGATAAAAGAAGAGACAAAATTTTTTTAAAAAAAATAAATAAATAAAAGAAAACATGCAAAGCTCCCTGGTACAGTACTAAGAGGTAAAATATGTCTGAATTGAACAAAGAGAGAATTCAAACATGTTGCATGCGTATGTAGCTGTGTGTGTATATGAGAGAGAGAGAGAGAGAGGGGGGGGGGGGGAGAGAGAGAGAGAGAGAGAGAGAGAGAGAGAGAGAGAGAGAGGGAGGGAGAGAGAGGGAGAGAGAGAGGAGTTGACTGGACTGATCAATCCAAAGAAATAAAACAGAAGAGAAGAAAAATAGAAACAAATTGCAGAAGAACATATATAAACAGGACAATCTTTTTTTGTTGTAATTGAATTGTCCATAAATCATAAAATTTTCAGCAAATTGAAATAATATGTATCAAGAAAACAATGACAAAAGATTCAGCTAATCCAAAATTCACTTGTATCAATTATAATTTTTCATCTTATTAGCATTTAATTAAATTTCTATCGAAAATGTTGTAAATTTATTATTTGTATTCTCTAATGGGACTTACAAAGAACTCTTGATGGGATTTCTTGATATTTATCTTGGTGCAGAGGATATGGCTTCATCTAGCTCTTACAATTCTCCCTGTGCTGCCTGCAAGTTCTTGAGGAGGAAATGCATGCCAGGTTGCATTTTTGCGCCTTACTTCCCACCCGAAGAGCCCCAAAAATTCGCCAATGTTCACAAGATCTTCGGCGCCAGCAATGTGACTAAGCTCCTCAATGAGCTCCTTCCTCATCAAAGAGAGGACGCAGTGAATTCCCTAGCATACGAAGCCGAGGCACGAGTTAGGGATCCGGTGTATGGTTGTGTTGGCGCCATCTCCTTCCTCCAACGACAGGTGGAGCGGCTTCAGAAGGATCTCGATGCAGCTAATGCCGATTTGATTCGCTATGCCTGCAATGAGATCCCCACGCCGTCATTGCCAGCACTCCCCGGAGTGAGTTTTAGGCCAGTTGAGTTAAGCAGAAGGATGGGAAATGAAGGAGGTGGTAGTGGAGGTGGAGGTGGAGGTGGACATTATTATCAAACACCTTCTTTCACATATCCTCATTCTCTTCCATGGAACGACAACCCTTCTGGGGATATGAATGATGGAGATGGAGGAGAAAGAAATCTTTGAATTTAAAGAGGCATTCTCCCATCCAAGGTTTGTTTCTCTTTGGGGCATATATGATGAACTGCAGAAGCTACTCTAAGATGGTATGGTCATGGTCATGTGTTAATTATATATATATATATATATATATATATATATATATATATATATTGATGAGTCGTGGATGGTTTCTAGGCTAGCTAGCCTTATCACATGGACCTAGCTAATTTATAGCTAGACCATGATCAGTTTGTGTGTTTTATATAATCATATGATGTTTTTAGTAGTATTTATATATGCTGCTAAAAACCAAGACTTTGAGTATATTTTCAGTGATTGCTGTGTGTTCAGGACCTAAGTAATTAAGGCTTAGATCAAGCATGGTTAGACTGTGGCTTCTACTTGATTGTTAGTTGCCTGTGTCACTAAGACTCTAGAGAAAAGTTCCTATTCTAGAGGATTGTTTATGCTTAAGAATAAAAGCGATAATATATAGTTTATATATATATAATTGTAAAAGAGGATTCTCTAGCCGAAATCAACTGCATAATCCTTCATTGCATTGTGTACACTTGCTTTATATTTCAGCTTTGTTCCTAAGGACCACTACTTTACTTTCTTGGCAATTTCTTTGAGTTAATAACTTACGGTCTTTGGCTCCAAAAGACGCATATAACAGATCTTCTATGTGTGTGTTTTGTACATGATGAGTTTGGTCAGGTTATGTTAACAGATTATCTGGATGAGTTTGTTGTTTCTTAACTTTGGATACAAAAAAGTTGTTTCTTTTGTTTTCTAACTTGATGTGAGTTACTAGGCTTCTGTTTCTAGGCTTCTGTGGGCTGATTTTTTTCTTTTAGAAACAGGGAATCCTCCCAACCTTGTAACTTTTGAAACATGAGTAAATCTCGAATATCTACTTACAAATCATACATATCATTTAAGTATTTTGCAACTTGTTATAGTCAAATCCAGAATGTCGAGTTTAGGGTTTACCTCTAGAGATCCTAGGTTTAAGGTTTGTTCCGAACTTTGTTGTTGTTATTGTTATTTATTTATATTTATATTTATTTTATTTTATTTTGGTGAAAAAGTAAGATTAGAAAATCCTTGGACATTTGCGGGTTCAAATTAACCAATAGTACTGTTCCTCCAAGAGAAAAATCTACATTAACAAAAAAAAAAAAAAATAGAGTAGGATTGCTTTCAATCTATTTATGTTCCAGGTTAGGATATAATATATATATATAGTTTTTAAAATTTTCATTCTTGTGTTGATAAAGGTGATTATTTGTTTTTTTCTTTTCTTTTTTTTGAAAAAAAAAATCCTTTTAATTGTGGCGCTTGTGAACCTCATCTTTGCCTCACATGCATATGTATACACATGCAGTTATCTAAAACAGTAAGTAATAGTTGATACCCTCATTGGATCCGTAAAAGAGTGATTCTCGTTTGTAGGGCTTTCAGCTTTTAATTTTCTTGCAAAACCCTTCACAGTTATCATCCCCAACATTTCCCAGTCAAACAGTACTTCTCTCTCTCTTTATATATATATAATATATGCGTTTGTGTGTGAAATGTTAATTTGTAATGTAAATAACAATTTGTTTCCTGTTCTGTTTTCCTGTTTGATCTTTATTCTAATGTATCTGTGTGTGACTGGAAATGCATGCAGGTGTGTGTGTATATATATAAATTCATTTGTTAAGCTTTCTATAGAATAAATATATAAATAAACAAAAAGGCATGATATGATATATGGGTAATTTAATTTCAACCAATGCTTTAAAACCCATCTTACACCCAACTAAAAGTAGCTTAGGGCTAGGGTTTTCAGTTAGGTTGGAACTTGGAAGCACACAGTACAGCGTATTTTGAGCATAACATTTGGTTGTAGTTTTTCAACAACATGTGCTATATATATACTATATATTTTTATATGTTTAATTAAAAAAATTCATTTATTTTGCGAGTTATATATATACAGTAATACACACACACGGATACATTATATATGATGTGTCAGTTGTGGGTGTAGCAGAGCATGCAGTATAGTACTACAATACAAAGCTATCGTCATAAAGGCCCGAAACAACTGTTGTGTCTAATACTTTTTTTCTCCTCCTAGTTTATGTCAGATGTCTCTCTTAAGTGGAATAGGAGTGCTGTAAGTCTCTCTCTCTCTCTCTCGGAAGAGAGAGAAAGTAAGTATTGTGGATGATCTCTGGCAGGGTCCGCAGTTGCAGTGAGCGTCACGTCCATCGTCCTCCAATTCATCGTCTTCTCGATATGGCCAACTCTCTCGAGATTGCCAAAGAATCCGCCTAGATTCATCTCTGTCGGAAGTTTTTTTCAATCCAATCTCATTACGGGATGAATCAAATATTTCTTTTTTACTGCAAATCTAATAGTGCATAAAATGTCACATCATCTGTTTATTAAAGTGGTTCTACATGTGAGACATGAGTTTAATTGATGCAACCAGTTTGCAGTCGTTTATGTGTATTTGCAAGTACAATACTTATTTACTCACAGGATGTGTTCAATGTCCCAATTATTTCTTTAGTTAAAAAGGTTGAAAAGAAAGGGAAAAAAAAAAAAATTGAAAGTCAGGTCAATCCCTGTGCATTTGTGTCATAATTTACCAAAAAAAAAAAAGTCAAGGGTTCAAAGCGACTAGTTGTCAAGTGCATGAGAATGCAAGATTTGGAGAGAGTTTGATATATACAGCTTTGCCACCACATGATCGGTGAGATTTGTGCCAAGACCCATCCTCTAATTCTTCGTTATCAATATATATTTGTGTGTGTGTGTGGTGCACCATACCGGGGAAATTTCAATGTTACAAAGTAAATGAGGTGAAGTGTGCATAGGGATGGCAACGGAGGTAATTTTGGATTAGTGTACCCTCCCCGCCCCCCCAACCATTCAGAAACCCTCACCCCATTCGACTTTTTCATTCCCGCAGGCACATGCCCTGCCTAGTTTAGATCTAAAATTTCTCATCATTTTTTTTATTTTTATTTTTTACCTCAAAAGCAATTATATAATTTTTTAAAAAATTCAAAAAAATGGACAATCAATAATTTAACATAAAATTTAAGAGTATAAGCATTCTTAGTTCGTAGGGCTCCGTCGCTCTCTAAAACGATTGAGAAAGTGAGTGAATATGATTTAGGGTTTCTAGAACTAACTATATGTACCAGTAAAATAAGAGTAATTTAATCATTTATCTACCTAAACAGGGCAGGGTAACCTCCCCCAACCCCCGCCCTGAACCAGCGCGGGTTTTCATTAATAAAAATCATCACCACCCAAATAAATTAAACAGTCCCCCAAAATTGCTAAAAACGGGGCGGGTCCTCTCCCCGCGGAGCAAATTGCCATTTCTACTGTGTGCAACACAAATGCAAGAAAAAGTGCAGTGAAAAGAATTTTGATACTATATATATATATATACATCTGTACACAAAGGGGTGTGAAATTATATGATTACTAGTTTGAAACGGGTGAAGGCAGAGTTGTAAATAATGTTAAAGGTAACTAGTTGTACAGTGAATCAAGATTTGTAAGTTGTAACTTAGTGGTGTTTGTGTTCTCTCTCAAACTGATGGGTAATAGTTAAGTTCTTAGCACGTCCATTGCCTTTTTCCTTTAACAGTAATAACACACGTGAGCATTTTTCAAGAACAAAGCGGTTGTGTCAAATTACAAGATATACATACATACATACATACATACATACATACATATATATATATATGTGTGTGTGTGTGTGTGTAGAGAGAGAAAGAGAGACCCATAAAGCTGTGTACATGCGAGTTATCTACACCATGTTTTAATGTAAATGTATAACAAATATATTATACATTAACATCCATGTACAAAATATGTAGATACGTATTCTTTTTTCAAGTTACAGATACTTGAATCACCAAGTTTAGTTTTAGTGTATTTAATTTCTTCCAATATTTTGAGAGTTCCAAATTCCAAATTGAACAAAAAAAAGGTACGTGTATAAATGTTTCTAATTTATTTATTTGTGTACCTACTAGAACTTATCAAATTATAATCCTACATCAAAATCATATACTGTCTTGTTCTTAATTTTTATGCTATGTGAATAAGTTTGGAAAAGAATTTCATTAAGTAGGTAATTAACTGTCTGAATCTTTTGTTATATATTGTTGACAATATTTCAATACACACACTGTGGTTAATTTGAATAAGTAAGAGGAAAAGGAAATTGTAGCAATAGGAATGAGAAGACAGCATGAAGTGGCCTTTTCTCGTATTTTGATTACTCCTGAGGAATTAATGATGGTAGTAACTATTCATTGTCCTAAAAAAAGAACTAGCGGAGAGAAAAGAAATGATTGTTTCATCCAAAGATAACAAATTTCCACTTGTTTAATAGGAAGGATGCTTTAGTGGATTGGAGATTTTTTAAATCGTAAATTTGGACGTCTTAAATTTAATATTAGCATAGCATAAAAACGTTTTTTTTTTTTTTTTCCCCTTGAAAGAAGTTTTTATTTTACTTATATTAAAAAGAAAAACATGAACAAAAAGAGTAATGACTATCTTCTGTCATTTAGCCCCAAATTCTCATACATGATAACTAAAACAATGTTAAGGGTTACTCTCTCTAGGAAGCACAGGTACAGATATGAAACGATATAAGTATAGCGATATGGTGAATTTAAATAAATAAATAATAAATAAAATGGGTTACAGATACAATAAAATACAACAATAAATAATAATAAATTATGTTTCTGTATATGCAAAAATTTACTTTTTTGGTCATAATTAGTATTATGAATCTAAATGCAATAATTTATATGTTCTAAGAAAAAAAAATTAAATATAACATAAGAGTAACACATAAAACAATGCATCTCCGGTCCTCACTAAATAAATTAACTTTTACCTATGAAGTGTGGATACGTTACATATATATATATATATATATATATATATATATATATATATATCTGATGATATGACAAATTTTTATAGAAAAGGCTATGAATATGCAAGGACACCACAATATAAAAATTTATATATATATATATATATATATATATATATATATATATCCATGCATAAATTTAAATAATACTTTTATATGTTATATCTATTATTATAAAAAAAATATAAATTATTATAATTGACAAACAAAATACGAGTTAAAAGTTATATTGCATATATATTCCGCATGGTAAATTTTGTACTAAATCATAATATATATCTCAATACTCAATTTAAAATAAATTTTCAACATTTGCTAACAATTATACTATGATATCATTGTTGAAAATTTTATATTTTAATATTCAAAACTTGTTAAAATTGTGTTCTGAGGTATCTGAGAAAATCCAAGAATTTGAGAAATATCGAATACATATAAAAAATAAATAAATAAATTTTAAAATTATGTTGAAATGTTTAAAAAATTTCAAACACTTATCCGCAAATATCTTACCACTATTGATATTTGATACGAGCACAATAAGAATACGTTACGCTTATAGAAGTATCTAAAAAATCCTTTCAGTAAAAGTCATCGTTGCACCAAATTGAAGTACCATATCATCAGTAATATCAATCAATTATATTATATGTCACATAAGAAAGGATACATTTATTTCAGTCCTATCTTAGTTGGTGAAAGCATATCATCAGTACCCCTAGCACATCAAAGTACGTTTTTCTCCTCCTTCCTAATCCTATACTTTCTCTTCTCATTCCTCAAACAAAACATGATCACTCCCTTGATCTAGAAGCAAAGGAAGAATTAGGGTAAACTATACTTACTTCTCCTAGGGTTTGAACAAATACACATGATTTTATCGTTCAACGTTTATTACTTTGATCTCGATTTCCTGAAATTCGACGCGCGTGTGCTCTACACACTGCTAACATTTTTTTGACCAAATTTTATAAAATGATAATTTTGTCATTCTTTAGTATAAAATGTGCACAATATAATATATTATTATAATATATAACATTAATGACTTTTTACACTCAAAGTCACTTTTTGATAATGGACAAACATGTTTAGAAAAAATTAGACACTAAACAGTCTATCCATGTATAATTTATCCAAACTCAAAAGAGGTCAATGTAATTTACCATAAGAATTACGTACTAAAGCCAAACAAATATTTCATCCACCCCAAAAATTTTATAAAAAAAAATTGTAAAAAAAAATATATTACTCCAATAATGTTTGTTTTATTTTGGAAGGTTTACTCCAATAATGTTTTGAATGATTATGAATTGATTTTATGGAGAGTCAGATAAATGTACCTTTGGATCAGATGGGGCTGACTCAGTGGGGGAGCATGGCTTTCTGAAACATTTGTTGTGTGTATTAGAGAATAAAAACTCAACAGTTGTTATTTCAGAATCCATCAACACAACACACAAAACCCCAACCTCTCTGTGTGTCATAGAGAGACGTGAAAAAGAAGAAAGGAGCAGGTAAAACATTATTGGCAGGTTAGAGAGAGAGAGAGAGAGAGAGAGAGACAAACATAAAGGTTAGGAAAAACAGGATGTGGGTGGTTCTATTCATGCCCCACCAGAATTTCTTATGTTCCCCCCTACATTTGTTTTTCATTTTAACATTTTATCAGAATTTTTTATTATTATTATTTTTTTTTAGCACAATATCATAAGGAACTGTTTGGTAGTCGCAGTACTATTCAAAATGTATTATTACCAAACATATTTTTCTCACTTGTTTCAGTTTTCATCAATTTGGTAACAGAAACACAAAACAACAATAGTTGCCAATCAAACCCTAGTCCCCTTCTCTCCCTTCCAAGCACAAAAGGGGTTTCTTTCATGGACTATAATCACCTAATTATGACAGTGTGAACAAATATTGGTACGAAACATCAAAAAAATACTCTTCAATGATTACTACTATGTATTAAACACAAAACTTTTTGTTGGTTTGATCTCAATCATTCCTTGTGCACCGTGAAATACAGGCGTTCCAAGAGGATTTGGGTTCACACTTTATCTAAAAATAAATTTCAAGAACTTAGACAATATAACAACTTTTAGAAATTAGCCTTCTATTGAATTAAGTCTTTCATTTTTTACAGAAAAATAAAACAAACCGAGGCTTAGTTTAAAAAAAAAAAAAAAAAACTGTCTAAGCAAACAAAAATTTTGAACTATCTGTATGTTTTTCTTCCCTTCTTTGCTAGCATAGCTATTATACTATAATATTAAACTCTTGAATATCTCGTGATAAATTTATAAACGTGTAATTCACTAATTCCTAAAAGCTTTCATGCATTGTACAGAATACAAAATCTCTTAGAACCTGTTTAATTTCTTCTTTTTAAGTAAATTAATTACTACTCTAGAGAGTTCGGAGGGAGAAAGGGGACTCGATCATTGCCACTAAGTAATGTCCAGTACAAAATATATTAACATCAACATTATATGTTTTTTTTTTTTGTTTTTTTTGTTGCATTAGGGCCTACAAATAATCATTCCCCTTAATCTAGTGATATTTTTTTGTGTAAATAGAAATAATTGATTTAAATCTAGTGAAATTGCATGTGCTGAAAGAAATAAATATAAATAATAAAATAAACAGCTTTGGTGATAAAGAGATGGAAACAAAACTCCATTGTAAATGAACTAAAATCTATATACAATAATAGGCAATGAGTACTCAATCAATTTTGAGTCCACGATAAGGTCAAACTTACAAACATTTCTATATAAACTACAACAAACAAGGTATTTTCTATTAGGAAGGTACATGATCAATTCATCATTACACCTTCATAATTTTATTGGCATTTTGTTTGGTTTAAAATACAAATAATAAAAAATTATAGATCAACAGTACAATTAATAGTCGAGGATAATGTAAAAGGGAAATTTAGCAATCATACCTGAACAATGATTGAAGTTTGGAATACTCTAAGAATACTGTCGGAGAATACCCAGGGGAAAAAAATGAACTGTAGGAGAATCGTATTACTCGACAAAGAGAGTTTTAATTAAGGACTTGGATCCTCTCAGTTAAATCTTTTCAAAGTTATCCTAAGTTGAATCCTCTACAGATTGACACGTGACATTTAAAATCTATTACTACTTGTGTTAAACCACGTCAACTAATTTAAAGAAAATTTGAAAACTGCACCGTTTTGAGATAAGAAAAATTTAACAAAGTTTAAAAACTATACCATTTTGAAATAAGAAAAATTCATCATATTTTAACGACGTTAACATCGTTCTCTCTGTTATAAATAAGAGAGAGAATTGAACTCTGTATATTGATGTAAATTATAAGAGATACAAGAGGGGTTTATATAGGGAGGGTTATGAGTGATGAACAAGTAATCTTATACATATAAGGTAACTGTAATCCTATATGTATAAGGTAACTATATACAAGGTAGAAGATATTATATAATATAGTAAGAATATATATTAATATATTCTAGCAGCCCCTCTCAAATTCAAGGTGGATTGAATGAAACCATCTTGAGTTTGGAAATGAGATCTTGAAAGCGGCATGGCGGAAGCGATTTGGTAAAAACATCAGCGATTTGATCATGTGAAGTGATAGACCGTAATTGTAAGGTCTTCTGAAGAAGATGATGACGAACAAAATGACAGTCAATTTCAATATGTTTAGTTCGCTCATGAAAAATATCATTATGTGCAATCTGAATTGCACTCCTATTATCACAATAAATAGGAGTGGCAGTGGATGAAGAAACTCCCATGTCTTGAAGAAGCCAACGCAACCATAGAAGCTCAGAAGTAGTATTAGCAATCGCCCTGTATTTAGCTTCTGTGCTAGATCGTGCAACCACAGTCTGTTTCTTACTGCGCCAAGAGATAAGTGAATCACCAAGAAAGAAACAATATCCTGTGGTGGAACGACGATCTGTAGGGTCTCCTGTCCAGCCTGTATCGGAATAGGCACGAAGAATAAGCAATGACTGGAAAGAATAATGCAATCCATGAAACATAGTGCCTTTGAGATAACGAAGGATGCGATGAACAGCAGCAAAATGAGTGGACCGAGGGGCAGACATGAACTGACTAACTATGTGAACGGCATGAGAGATGTCGGGACGAGTGACAGTGAGATTAACCAGACTACCTACCAATTGGTGATACAAAGTACCATCTCGAAGAAAATCTCCATCATGTAGATTAAGTCTGGTATTGCACTCAAGGGGTGTATCAACAATTTTGCTATCAATGAGATCGGATTTCTAGAAAAGATCAGATATGTATTTTCGCCTGAGTAAAATAGTATCCATCTGTAGAGGTACTTATCTCAAGACTAAGAAAATAACTGAGGGGTCCAAGATCCTTCATCTCGAACTGACGATTGAGAAATTATTTGAGCTCCTGAATTCTTATTAAATCATCTCCAGTAATGATCATATGATCAACATAAAGTAAAAGGAGAATGATACTTCGATTGGTGCGTCGAACAAATAAGGCAGAGTCATATGGACTAGTAGAGTAGCCAAGGCGAGAGATAGTCTGATTGAATTTGGCAAACCAAGCTCGCGGTGCCTGTTTGAGACCATACAAAGCACATCTAAGTCGGCACACCTTTTTAGAAGGATGAGGATAACCTGGAGGAGGCTACATGTATACTTCCTCGAGTAAATCACCATTGAGAAAAACATTCTTAACATCCATTTGAAAAAGTCCCCAATAATAAGAAGCTGCCACGGCAATAGGAGTTTGAACAAATGTCTCCTCAAAATCAATGCCATATTCCTGTGTGAACTTTCTAGTAACAAGTCGAGCTTTGTAGCACTCTACAGACCCATCTGAACGAGTCTTGATCTTGTAAACTCATTTGCATCCTACAGCAGACTTTCCAAGAGGCAGATCAACCAGATCCCATGTATGAGTTTTAGATAGTGCATCTAACTCTTTTTGCATTGCTCTTGCTACCTTACTCTTCTTGCATTGGTATCAGAGCCAAGTTCTCTATTTTATCTATATATATTTATCTTTTTCTTTCTCCTCACATACTATTAGGGGTTTGAAAGGGAGTTTTAGAAGGTCTTTTCGAATTATGAGCATAGCAAGCGAAAGAACACCCTCAGATCATCCCAACACCACCAAAAACAGCCGGAAAACACCTTGCACCCGCCCCTACGCGCCGCCACAAGGTTCAGCCACTTTTTTCATCAAGCCACGCGCTGCCACAAGCCCAGGTGTGTCAGTCACACGCTCTGCCACGTCATCAGACACATCATCTACCACGCCATCTGCCACGTCAGCAAGTGCCGCATCAACTGCCACGTCAGCACCATATCACCAGCATTCTGCCACGTCAACAGTATCAGAATTTTTTTTTTTTTTTTTTTTCTGAAAACACCTATTCAGCCCAGTTTTTCACGCTAATTTCAAATTTGCAGTCCGTTTTTGTATTTAGAATCTCTAAATGGCCCAAAATGAGGTAACTCACCCTATTTCAGTTATTCTTAGTGGTGACAATTACTCATTTTAGAGTCAATCTATGCGCAGTTTTTTGAAAGGTCGCAAGCTATGGTCCTATGTCACTGGAGATCGTACAACACTTACTCAAGCCATAAAAGAGACATCATATGCCTATGTCACACGTGTTGAAGACTGGGATAGTAACAATGATCACAAGATCATCATATGGTTACGCAACACATCCAATTCTTCCATTGGTATAGAATTTGGGAGTTACGAGACAGCCAAGGAGATCTGGGACATGCTTGTCTCTCGCTACTCTGGTTCTGATGGGGCTCGCCAATTTCAATTAATGGTTCAACTTTCTACTCTTAAACAAGAATCAGGTTAGCGAATTAATAAATTCTTCTCTCAGATGAAATGTTTATGGGATTAATTAGCTCTTTCCGAACCATCATGGGAGCATTCTTCTGAAACAAAGAAATTTCTCGAGTATCACAACCACATTCGACTTTATTAGTTTCTGCTGAGTCTTTATGATAATTTTGAACCAATACGCAATCAGCTTCTTCATCGCTCACCTTTTCCATCACTTGATCAAGCTCTTAATGAACTTGTTCGAGAAGAGACAGGCTTACAGAATCATCGTTCTCAAAATCATATCACTATTTTAGCCAAACCATCTTCTACTCCTCAGTTAGTGCCATCTCAGTCAGCACCAGATCGCCCCGCCTTATTTTTTTGACAAAATAGACGCAACAATACCAATCAGTCTGGCTCCAATGGACGCAACAATAACAGTCAATCTGGCTCCAATGGACGCAACAATAACAATCGCTCTGGCTCTCAGCAATCCAACAACAAAAAGGACCTTTCCGGTCTTTACTGTACTTTTTGTCGGATTCCAGGGCATAGCATTGACTTTTGTTGTATTCGTGTTCGACTCTCCACTACAACTGTGGCTAACACAGAATATCTGTCACCACCATTTTCAACACCAGTCAACATTTCTTCTGGCGAATCTACATCTGCCTCATTTGTTTTCTCTACAACTGACCTTGAGGCAGTTCTCAACCAGGTTTTATCTCGCTATCAAGGTGCATCTTCCACTGCTCTTTCTACTATACCAAGTAAATATAGTTCTTGGTATTTTGACTCTGCTTGCTGCAATCACATGACACCTGATTCTACCTTCCTCACATCCCAGACTTCTCCTTCTTGCTCTCCTGTTATACACACAGCCGATGGTTCCACTATGACTATTAGTCACATAGGAACTATTTCTCAATCTCAGTTATCTGTGCTTCATGTTTATCTTGTTCCAAATCTTTCCCTTAATCTTTTATCTATTGGACAACTAACTGAGTTGGGATTAACCATAACTTTTTCTTCTAATGGTTGTGTTGTAGGGACAGATCATTGGGACAGGCTCTAAGATAGGACACCTATTTGAACTTTCTTCATTACATCTACCTACTATCACTATTTCTGCTGCCTCCACATTATCCAAAACTCCTACACTTGAGTTGTGGCATTCTCATTTGGGTCATGCATCATTATCTCGTGTCAAAACCCTTACATTTACAGGTTTGTTAGGTCAGGCTAAACTTGAGTCTTTTGATTGTATTTCATGTTAATTGGGAAAATAGTCTGCCTTACCATTTAATAAAAATGAGTCTTTTGCTTCTGCTCCATTTGATCTTATTCATTCTGATATTTGGGGACCTTCGACTATATCTACTATGGAAGGATCACGATATTTTGTTATTTTTGTTGATGATATTTCACAATTCACATGGATTTTTTTAATGAAAAATTGTTCTGAATTACTTAATATATTTTGTGATTTTACTCAAATGAATGCTACTCAATTTTCTAAACCAATCAAAATGTTTCAGTCTAATAATGCTCAAGAGTACATATAAAATGAATTTCAAAAAATTCTTCAACATTACGGTACAATTTTTCACACTTCTTGTATTGACATATCTCAACAGAATGGTCGAGCTGAATGAAAACTTCGACATATTTTAGATGTAACTCATTCACTCACTCTTTCTGCTTCTGTGCCTTTATCTTTTTAGGGTGAAGTATCTCTTATTGATGTTTATACCGTGAATCGTGTTCCAACACCACTTTTACAAATTCAAACACCTTATGAACGTCTCTATGGAAAACTTCCAGACTACAGTCATCTTAGAGTCTTTGGGTGTGCTTGTATTATTTTTCTTCAACCTCATGAGCAAAATAAGTTACAACCACGTTCTTGACTTTGTTATTTTCTTAGCTATGGAATTGAACAAAAGGGGTATAGATGTTATGATCCTGTTGATAAACGCCTCCGAATTTCTCATCATGTCATTTTCTATAAGCACAAACTGTTTCATACATTATCTAAGTTTAGTGGCATCTATGATCAGGTTTTTCCTCTTCCCCTATTTGACACCTCTGCAAATCTCTTTCTTGATTCCACAGAATCATCTGATATAGTCAACCCTTTGCCGGCTTCGTCCCACTTATCTGCTCAGTCCGAGGTTCCTAACAGTACGCCTACCACACATCTTCGCCCTCATTTAACCCGGGTAAGAAATCCACCTGCACATCTCAGTGATTTTCATTGTTATTGTTGGGGGAGAAATTCACGCGATCCAATACGACACCATTTCCTTGTAAAGAAGAGAGTAGAAGATCGATGAATCTTGACGGCACCGGTGTGGTGCCTGCCAATAACTCTCCGACGATCAAGTCAGTCACCGGAGGTCTAAAAGAAAGGTAAGGATTTAATAATAATTTTTTGTCCTCCCTTTATTGACTGGTAGGATCTTATTCTTATAGTCGCTCTCCCTCAGTTCATTTACGAGATCAGAGGAGATCCATTTGTTGCCAGATTTGTCGGGGATATGATTTACTCCTTTGACTTTCTCAAATTATGCCAAGGGTATCCTTACCCTGTTGAACCAAGTCATATTTCATTATCCTTGATAATGAAATATTATCATTCTTATCCAATGGAAATATCCTCTTCGAAAGTCGAATAGGTCTGGCGGCTGGCTAATACTTAGTTGCCTCTATCGTTAGGTCAAGGTAGGTTAGGGTTATGTTTTCCTATCAGTTTCCCCCCATTCCCAAGCTTGCTTATCTAGCTTTGGGAATGTAAATTTTTTTTTTTTGGTACCCTTGGGTACTCTTTCCTTGGATAATATTCCCTTGAGTACTCTTTCCTTTGGTAATCTTCCCTTGGTTATTATTTTTGGTACCCTTGGGTACTCTTCCTTTGGGTAATCTTCCCTTGGATACTATTTTTTGTACCATTGGGTACTCTTCTTTTGGGTAATATTCCATTGGGTACTCTTTCCTTAGGTAATCTTTCATTGGTTACTATTTTTGGTACCCTTGGGTACTATTTTTGGTACTCCTGAATACTCTTCCCTTGGGTATTATTCCCATGGGTAAGCCTTTTTTCTTTTTTCTTTTTTTTTTTTTTTTTATACCCTTGGGTACTCTTTCCTTGGGTAATATTCCCTTGGGTACTTTTTCCTTGGGTAATCCTCTCTTGATTATTATTTTTGGTACCCTTGGGGTATTATTTTTAGTACCCTTAGGTAATATTCCCTTGGGTACTCTTTTCTTGGGTAATCTTCCCTTGGTTATTATTTTTGGTACCCTTGTGTACTCTCCCTTAGGTACTATTTTTGGTACCCTTGGGTATTACTCCCGCGGGTAAGTTTGTTTTTTTTTGGAACCCTTGAGTACTCTTCCCTTGGGTAATATTTCATTGGGTACTCTTTCTTTAGGTAATCTTCCATTAGTTACTATTTTTGGTACCCTTGGGTACTATTTTTGGTACCCCTGGGTACTCTTCCCTTAGGTAATCTTCCCTTGGGTATTATTTTCGAGAGTAGGTGTTTTTATTTTTTATTTTTATTTATTTATTTATTTTTTTTTGGTACCTTTGAGTACTCTTCCCTTGGGTACTATTTTTGATACCCTTGGGTACTCTTCCCTTGGGTACTATTTCCTTGAGTAATCTTCCCTTGGGTACTATTTTTGGTACCCTTGGATACTCTTCCCTTGAGTAATCATCCCTTGGATATTATTCCCACGGGTAAGGGTTTTTTTTTTTTTTTTTTTTTGGGTATCCTTGGGTACTCTTCCCTTGGGTAATTTTCCTTTAGGTACTATTTTTGGTACCATTGGGTACTCTTCCCTTGGGTAATCTTCCCTTGTGTACTATTTTTGTTATCCTTAGATACTCTTCCCTTAGGTATTCTTCCCTTGGGTATTATTCCCGTTGGTAAGTTTTTTTTTTTTTTTTTTTTGGTACCCTTAGGTAATATTCCCTTGGGTAATCTTCCCTTGGGTAGTATTTTTAGTACCCTTGGGTACTATTTTTGATACCTTCAGGTACTCTTCCCTTGGGTAATATTCCCTTTTGTACTTTTCCATTGGGTAATCTTCCCTTGGGTACTATTCACGTGGGTACTATTCCTAATGGTGGAATTTATACAAATACCAAATCAATGTTCTGTTCCCTTGGATAATGTTCCATTTGGTAAGGGAATAAATTGTACGAGCTTCACTCAGCTCGTCACTCCTTTAATAAGGGAACGAGCTTTACTCAGCTCGTCCCTTTAGTAAGAAAATTAAATTTTACAAGCTTCACTCAACTCGTCCCGTTAGTAAGGGAATTAGGTTTTACGAGCTTCACTCAGCTCGTTCCTTTAGTAAGAGAATTAGATTTTCGTCAAGCGTCGGAAATGCCAAGTCCAACTAAGCTAAGCATGCTTGATGATTACTTTCTTGCCCCTTTTAATAAGGGAAGTAGATTTGCTCAAGCGTTGTGCTCACCTTTTAATAAGGGAGTAGTTAACCCTCGTATCTTTACCGAGGGAAGAAGATGAAGTTGACGCTTTATTCATTTATGGGGGAAAGAGGTGTAGTCTGAAGGAGGGTGACCCTTTTAATATGAGAGGTAATCATCTCGTTTCTCTAGTAAATGAAGGAACCTTGAATTATCTCACCCTTCTGTGTAGTCAGATTCTTGTCCCTTTAATGAGGGAAGAACGTGTTGTCGGCCCTTGGTCCTTTTAATGAGAAAACCTTTAATAAGGTATAGCCGGCCTCTCTTTCCTTTAATAAGATAAGTAGATTACTATGAGCTTAATATTACCACATAGGTGGGTAACTGAAAACGTAATATTTTATTGCGTAAAAACTGAGGGTCATCCATCTCATTGGTGATGGTGACTTTATTAGAATACAAAATAACACGTAAGGGAGCTACCCCCCATTTAAAATGATGAACTGAGATGCCCCCAGTCTTTATTTTGAATGACTTTATAAGGCTAATTCTAGCTGTTAGGCAATTGTTAGTCAGTATACTTATCTGAGTCTTTCTCATGATGTGTCATATCGCTTTGGCTGAAGAATGATCTCTTATAGCTAGTATCATTTTCATCCTTGGTGAGAGGGGCTGACCTCTTCTTGTCCTCTCCTTCCTTTCCCTTCCGTGCATTCATGGCTTCTTCAGCGTTCATGTGTTTCTGCGCTCTGATTAACAACTCTGCCACGTTTGGTGGGAGGTTCTTTAGATAAGGCGAACAAGAATCTGGAGGTTTGGAGTCCTCCTATGAAAGCGGTCAAAGCCACCTTGTCGTCCACCTCTTCTACCTGTAACATATCTGTGTTAAATCGGGTAATGTATTCTCGGATCACTCTCCCTTTTGTTGTTTCACAGTAAGCAGGTAGGTGGCCGGCCTCCTATGCCTCTGACCTGCAATGAAGTGGCTCACAAATTGTTTACTCAGTTCTTCGAAGGTGTTGATGGTTCCTGGCTTCAGCTTGTTGAACCAAACTCTTGTCGATCCCTTAAGTGTAGTGGGAAAAGCTTGGCACATGATTTCATCTGGCACGGTGTGTATATGCATAAGAGCTTGATAGGTCTCCAGGTGATTGAGGGGATCTCTAGTCCCATCGAAACTTTCAAACGAAGGCATCCTGAACTTGCTAGGCAAGGGGGCATTTCATAACGGCGGGGCTGAATAGCAAGTTAATCTTTTTTGGAAAAGATGAGGGAGAGAGAATGACATTAAAGTATGCTGAATTTTTCTTATTTCAAAATGGTGCAGTTTTTAAACTTTGATAAATTTTTCTTATCTCAGAACAGTGCAGTTTTCAAACTTTCTTTAAATTAGTTGACGTGGTTTAACACAAGCAGTAGATAGATTTTAAATGTCACGTGTCAATCTGTAGAGAATTCAAATTAGGATAACTGAAAGAAGATTTAACTTAGAGGATAAAAGTCCTTTAATCAATGGGCCGGCAAAGAAAAGTTTTGTAAATCCTTTTTCGAATAACAATAGGATCAACAAGCAAGCATATTTAAGCTTTTCTTTCATCAGGAAAGCTTATACATCAACTAACTGTTGATATTAA